TCATCTGTAAGATTGTTCTAGGCTTTGAAAGTCATCCAGTTTTAAGGTATAAACAGAAGAGCAAATTCCCATGTGCACCAGCATCTAATCCAGAATCAAGTCTCAAAGCCAAGTTCTTCTGAATTAGACAACACTTCAGCCCTTCTAGCATCCAGCTAATAGAGCTAAAACATCTGCAACAAGCATCTGAGCGTCAGAGAGGCATCAAAACGCTGATGTCCATCATTTGAAACAGAGCCGGTCGGCTTTTCCGTGTCCGTGGCTTGTTGTCCATTCTCTGTCAAACTTTGTAGTAAATGTTTGCAGGATTTTGTGGCGGCATTTCTTGGACGATATAGACAGGGTGGCCGTAGTCACCGCTGACCTTCTCGTAGTGCGGGCAGTACATGCTTCCTGAGGTGCGCAGCGGAAAGATGATGTCACTCGGCTCAGAGCCGTTATTGTTGCTGCCGCCACTGGCAGCACTTCCGCGTTTGGGAAGTGTGTTTAATGGCAGCTGGGCGGAGCACTGCACGGAGTGTTTCTGATGACGCCGATGCAGCAGTGCTACCAGAGCGATGATGATGATGATGAAGATGACAGCACCAGATGCAACACCGGCAAACAGGGCTACTTCAGATCCAGCGGATCCTACAGACTCTCCGCTCTTGCCTCCGGACTCACCATTCTGCATGGGGTCTGGGGAACGAGAAAGAATGGGGAGTTCATGATCAGATATAGTTTATTGTTTGTTGGATTCAAACACAATGATTGTGAAAGTAAAATATCCAGCGTTATTCATGTAAATCATTTCAAATCATGAGAACAAATTAGGATATGCATGCCCATGTTAAACTGGCAACATTTAATTGTTTTTATTTATTTTGTACATAAACCTGAACCTGTGATACATATCCAAAAAATTTAGTTTTTTGGATATGTATAAAAGGTTTTCAAACCATATTTAACCTAATTACAGTAGTCAACATTTGAAGTGGATCAAAAACGTTGATCAAAGTTGTCCTAAGACAAGAACACATTTTGGTTTTAGGTTTT